GAACTGATTCAGGCAGCGAGCTGGATGTACGCGGCTGCTAGCGCAACGAAAAGCATTCGATAAGCTGTAATGAGCGAAACGACGAGAGAAGCCGAAAAGTGCCTCCGGAGGGCGACCCAATCATTCCAAATGTTTCGCTGTTTTTTTTCAGCAGTAATATTGCCGTGTTTCTAATAAGTGCAAGCTTAATTTGTAATAATTATAAAGCGTGCTTTTTCGTTTTTTGCATATCCCAGTGGACTTTTCTAAGAGCAGTTGAACCTTAACGCTGATACATTGCTCACATCTCGCTGATTCCTTACTATGGCGTACTTCCATGTCATCAAAAAAGCAACTGGCGGCGACCTCATTACGGTTACTGCAACTGGAAACTGCACTACCTGGTGTCCAAGGTGTTGCTGATCCTGGAGTCCACCTCCCCACATTTGATTCCCCGATGAAGAATGCAGTGCTTGCCATTTCATGCGCAGTTTGTATGGCCTTTCAGCTTGCTTCTTAGAATGCGCGTTTACATTCGCACTTCGTTTGAAAGAATACGAAGAACAAGAAGATTTTTGAGTGAATCTTGGAGCAACCATATCAGTATGACCAGTTATTACTTTACTGTTTAACATGTGCCCTTATGCTGGCAATGTTTTCGCTTTTTCATGTATGCAGGGAAAGAAGTAGCATCGACTGGGACAGTATTGTTGCATCATCGCGCCGGTTGAAATTTTGCATTTCAGCTTGCATGATTATCGCAAATTTTTCATGAGAAGAAATAAATAACTTTCGGTGACCACCATTTATTGTAAATACAATTTCGCAATAAAGAGAATGTTATGAGAGAAGATTGATGAAATCCAGTTAGAAAGTGTCCTGCCAGAATTTCCCCGTTTCCGTATTAAGATATAGACGTACTTGAGAACTGAGTTTGTAGTTTTTGGATTGCGCATAGACAGAGAACTTCTTCCTAAATTTTGAGCTTCTTAAACTTCCTCGTTCCCGAGTTAGTAATTTTCTGTCAAAACTTGCGAGAACTAGGCCTGCTATGCGAGAACAAAGCCTGCTTGGGAACTGAATTTGGAATCTTTGTAGTGCACACAGGCAAAGAACATCCCCCTAAAATTTCGGCTTGCCAATTTATTCAGTTCCTGAGTCAGCAATTCCCCGCTAAAACATTCACGTGACCGGGTAGAGACCAAGAACACTTGGGAACCGAACTGAAATTTCTAAATCGCATTTGGCACAAATACTTTCGTAAATTTCAGCTTCCCAACTTGGTCCTGAGTAGCTATTTTCCTGCCGAAACTTCCACATGTTCGTACATGAAACGCAGAAGGGTGTAAAATTGACAACAATTCCCTGGAGTCGCATTAGAAGTAAAGCAAATTTGCACTAGAACAATCCCATAAAAGTGCACTTGATGAAACGACACAAAGAAATACAAATTTCGGCACCTGTCAAAATTTGGCTTGGCTCGGCCAGGTGAGGGAGGGGTAGGGAGGCAGTCGAAATAACTGGCGAATGCAGGGTGGCAAAATGTAATGCGGAAAAGAGAGGATGAGGGCGGGGAGCGGGGGAGGCGTAGTGTAACGAAGATAAAAGGAATGGAATTATTAACTGGGAAGGAGCTGAGACCATGGCTGAAGGTAGTGTAAATACGGGAGGGGTTCATGTGGAAAAGGGAGGGAGAGGGGACGCTTTTCTAAGTTTTTTTATGCTCAACATGAAACTTACTGCTGAGGGAAACTTAGCAGTCTTGAACGTGGCACTTAGAGCTTTGAGTGGATAAAAAAACTAGGTAATGCGATTCATCCTTCAAACTTGAACCCAAAAACAAGTGCATATTGAGAGGCTAACTTCCCTCAGATCTATAAATTTCATAAT